CCCCTAAATAATACATAAGTATGTATAACTAATTTTAACGAACGAGTCGAAGGCCCTGTATATTTTACTCATTGTTAATAAATAAATAAATACATTAGCTTAAACGATAAGAGAACCTCTTAAATAGATAATATTGTAGGCAAACTTTGGGTCGTTAAACATGAAGACAATGGGGCCGTATACATAAAATTTAAGCAAATGCTTTTTCTTAAAATTTCAGACATTTTTCTCAATTTGTTCAAATAAATTTAAGTGAATGGAATGAAACTTTAAGATGAAATAATTGCTCAATTTTTATGCATACGGCCCAATACCAATTTTTTCAAAGAAAAGTTTAGCAGATTTTTTTTTCGAACAACATGTTTTTTGGTATATTCGCAGTTATTCGTCAAAAATCCACATCATGAATCGACGTGAAGGTATTTATGTGCCCTTTACACAAATATATAATTTGTGCAGATTACGTTCCATAACATCTATATTTCTCATCAGACTTGACTGTAATGACTAGGGAAGACAAAAATATGCAAAGGCATATCGCACATGAAAATGCATATTATGACACAAAATGCATACTTTGGGGAAAATGCATTAAAATGAATAAATATGATTATTTTTGTAATAAGATACTTAATTTTCGCATAATGCCACCTGACAATACCTTTGCGGAGGTTTGTTTAATTGGCAAACGAAAAAAGCTGAGAAACAACGGAAAGTCCCGTTATTTTCTAGTAAACAATTTTAATACACTCGTAAAAATATTTCGACTGTTGTTTTCCAATAGCAAAGTTTCGCGCTAAACCGGTTTTGGTGGTTGAAAAATTCAATCAAAATTTTTCGTTTTTAGCGAAAGCTGTTTAACAGTTTCCAGATGTGTTGCGAACTGAGCAGGGAGTTTTATTCTGCATCTATTGCAATTGCTCAATATCAGCAACAAAAATATTTTGTGTGAAGCAACACTTCAATAAAATATTGCAATATTTTCACCTGGAGAATTGTCATCTTTTAAATACTGTCCAACAAAGTCTTGTGACGTAGAGCGTTCATTTTCAGTACATATATATATGAACAAAAACTTTTTATGCGATAATGGAAAAAATTTTCGGTATATGCATTTTTGGGACATATACCAAGTATATTTTTAATATATTGGAGTAATTTTAATGATCATATAATTAAGTTATTTGTGCATATTTTTGTCTTCCCTAGTAATGGCATATCTGCTATGCATCGAATTTTAAAAATAATGAAAACAGAATCAAGTAAAACTGTGTACTGATTGAAAATCTTAGCTTTTTCGACTTTCTTCGCTTGTAGCACTAATAATTTTCATTGAAATCGGCACAAATTATGTATATATTTTTGTAAAAGGTACCTTTCGAACTGTAAGTCGCTTACGTTGATTGGGAGATTTTTTTCATGACATATTGAAGAAAAGCTCCGAAAAGTACCAAACACATCCAGCCATTGTCCGCGGAAAATTTAGAATGCACTGACTGGTTGAAGTTTCAAAATCAGCCTCACTCTCATATCAATCAGTTATCGACACTGCTTATATTTTGATAGATAAAGGGCTCTCACCGATCATTTTAAAATAACGAATAAAATGCGGAATGAGGACACTTGGTAAAAATCAGTACATTTTCAGGTTTTTCTGCCTTGAAAAACTACGCAGGGCAGACCTTTGACCAATAGTACGGACCTGAAAAAAAAACGGGACGGATGGTCACCGTAGTTATATGCCAAAAAAAGACTCCTCGCATAGCTATATGGTTAAAAGTGCTCAGTTTATTATTGCAATGAATTTTATATGCACATATGTACGTATATCTATGTAGCTACATCCATTTTAGTGCACATAATTCAATCAATTTGTTTCTCTACAGATACTTATCACAAATTATCACTAGAGTCTGCTGGGAAGCGTTTCTTAACCCAGCAGCTATTCTCGTTCTTACGCGCTACTTTTTTTGCCTAACAGAAACTAGCAGCTGTCAGAATGAATAAACAGTTGTTGAAACGAAAGCAACCGGGGTTAAACAACGTTGTTTCTATCTGCATATTGTTGGTATTTCTTTTTTGATAAAAATGAGGGAATCAGTTAATATTGATGAAGTGTTGCAAAATATATGTATTTTGAATATTTTTGAAATATAAAAAGCTATTAAAAAATCGCGACAAATATTTTAAATTGTCATCGATCAGCTGTTTACTTGTTAGTTTGCGTTTCTTTATTATTTCTTAATTTCCTGATAAGTATCTGCTAGAAAAGTAAAGAAACAAAGCTATTATCAACATGGACAGCAAGCAGTATATCGCCCCAGTGGGAAAATGTAATGTATATCTAGTAATCGAAAAAATATCCAGTAAAGAACCTTTTTCACATTCGAAAATGCATTTTTCTCCCCAGGGCGATGTCCTAAGAAAAGTGGGACATTCAATTTTGCATTACCTAGTATCGAGAAATGAATGTGATTTAATATGGAATTGTTGGGACTTTTTGAATAAATTAGAATGCTGATTACATATTAAACAGTAATTGCATGTAAAACTCATAAGAAGTACATTCGATTATTTATCACCCATGGAATGCATTACTAATTTTCCCACTGGGTATATATACATATATGTATGTAAATATTTAAATAGCGGTTGTTGCGCCTGTCTGTTCTGACGCGCAGCAACTGATTGCCGTTGTTCATCGTTTGTCAAATGAGACAAATAAATACACAATTACACACTTAAGTGATTCTGTGGCTCGTTTTTCGCGTCAGTTGGCCTCCTGATATAGAGTGGTTTTGCTTTTGTTCAAAAACGGAAGTTGTAAGTGTAAACATTGCAATTGTTGCAAATTGTCGATATAAGCGGGGCGGCAGTAAGCGAAACTTATGAATACATACATAAATATATTGTAGGAGTACAAGCCTCGCAGGACTGTAGATTGCTTCTGGTGCGCTGTTGCTGAAGATTGAGTATTCGCCAATTTATACAGAGTTAGCACAACCGTCGAGAGAAAACTCGGGCCCCGGACTAAAAAATCACGGGCCCCTATACATAAATTGTATTAATTTAAAAGTAAATGTAATTTTCTTTAATTTATAGGGTCAGAAATAATAAGCACGAATCGGAATATGTTTATAATACTTAAAAACCTATAATTAAGGAGCAATTACATTGTAAAAAATTTAAAAACAAGTTATGGCTCTGCTATTTCGGGCACCTTAAAAAGACCGGGCCTGGGGGATTTATCCCTTTCCCCCTCCACCTCGAGGGGCCTTAGAGTAAGTCCTTAAAAAATTGTCACCTTCCTCCTACCACCTTCATATGTATGTATGTATGTACACATATTTTTCGACAAGTCTTAAGCATATATTCATTTATGTACAGTTTTTTGCAAAAATCAAAAAAGTAAACTCTACGGCTTTTGATAAATATTTATGTATGTATCATGGTAGCCAAGTCATTTTTGATAATTCCCCTTGGATATCTCCTTATTTACAAAAAAAAAATTGTGTGTATTTTGACATATTGCTGGTCTGCCTGTTTATTTTCTTTTTAATGTAATTCAGCTTGTATGTGTTCATAGAGGTGAAGTAAAGTAGTATAAAGTAAAGTAGTATAGAGGTAGGTAAAGTAAGCGTGAAGCCTTGCGACGTCTACTACAGTTGCCA